TGTGTGTGTGGTATATATTGTTAAAAAAGGCAATGGGAGTCGTGTATGTTCGAAGTGCCTCTTGAGAAAAAAATGATGGTGTGGGAGGATGATTTAGTTTTGTGTTATAAGTCAAGAAATGTGGGGTGCAAAACGTTTAGATGGAGTACACTTATTTCGCTTTGTGCCTGGGTATTTCCTCTGTGTGTGGGGTTTGGTATGTTTTTGTTTTCAATTTTTGGGAGTGGGTGTTAAGTGCTTACCCATGTCCTGAAGACCAGCTCTCTAGATCAAATTTTATTTAGCTGCCTCAGAATTACAAAGATGTATCTGCTTAATTCCTAGTTTTGAGGAAACTGAGGTATAAAATTTAGATTTTCACATGTCATGCTTTTTTTAATGCCATTCTTTGAATACCTTGATAATGACTCCTTTTAATCTTGCGATTTTGATAGAGCAGATAGTACATATATAAATATAGTTTCTGACCTCATTGTCTTAGTAACTCAAAACGACCTAAATTGAAAGATAGAACCTTGCAATTCTGAGATTGCAATTTGTCTAGACTAACATTCATACACATTTGTGGTAAATCGTCACATTTCTCTCTGTCCCTTTGTCCATCCAGCTGGGCATTGTGGGTCTGTTCCTTATCGCTCTGGTCACTGACCACTGCTGCCTCTTAATTGTCAAGTGCAAGTACCATGCCATCCGCCATGTCCTTGACAAGCACCGGATGTCTTCCTCCAGTGGTAGCATCGTCAACTCGAATAAGTCCCGTCGACTGATGAGTTCCGAGGAGGAGGGGGAGGAGAGAGAGCAGCAGAGTGTGGAGGAGAGTGAGGAGTTTCAGAAAATCCATAAGCAGCTTCAGCGGAGCATGACCTATGGTGATGTAGGCAAGATAGCGTACGGCAGCTGGGGAGTGTTTATGGTCAACTTCTGCCTCATCTTCACACAGTTTGGTTTCTGCGTCAACTATTTCATCTTTGTGGGAAACACCATCTTTGCTCTGTTTCCCACTGTTAACGGGAGCCTGCCTGTCAATGACACTGGGATGACAAGCTCAATGCCTTTGGCACTGGCTGTCGATCAGGATAAGGACTTTTCAACACAATCATTTATGTCTACCCCATTTCTCAACGGGTCAGTGGACTTCATCTCGAGCTCTCTAGCTAACTTCTCAAATATAACAAACGCAACGACGTCCGCTCCCACCACGACGTCCACTCCCACCACGACCATCGCCACGTCTGCAACCTGGGCTGCGATGAACACAAGCACGCCCTCTGTTATCCCATTGTCAGATCTGTTCTTGGACGTCTCCCAGGCCCCTGATCTCAGACTACTGGTCATCACCCCATTGCCCATCTTTGCCGGCTTCGCTTTCTTGCGTGATGTGCGACACCTAGGCTTTGTCAGTGTTGGAGCTGATGTCTCCATCTTCCTGGGCTGTGTGGTCACCATGGGCTACATCCTTGTCGGTGAGTCGCTATACACATTCACCCTTTCAAGTAGGGGGGGGGGGGGGGAGAGGTGTGTGTGTAAAGGTGTGGAAATGATTCTTTCTTTTCTTTTTTTGTGGGGGTGGGGTTTTTTCCTTGTTTGAAGCTATTGTTATGGAGAGGGGGGTTGATTGGGTTTTTATTGTAAGGATTGGGGTGGGGGCCATCAAAGGATTTTTTAATGTGCACAACTTGCACATGAGACCTCAGAGATTTTTGGGCCTTATCAGTGAAGGCAATGTGCTCAATGTTACCTTCTACCCTTAGTAGGTCAGGGGTGTGGCTGAAAGACAGCAGTAGGAAAAAGCCAGGAGAAGCTATACAGTACATGGAGAAAGAGTCAGGAGTGAACGAGATAGGAGGCCTGGGGTGGTGGAGGGGGGGGGGGAGAAAGTGGAGAGGAAAGCAGATGGCACTACTCGTGTAGAAATCAGGAAAGGGGATGAAAGGAGAAAATTTTTAGAAAAACTTTTTTTTTCTGTTGCTGTTAGGTTTTGAACTCGAGATGTACTGAATGAGAGTCAAACCCCGTTCCTCTAGACCTCGAGAGCCCTCTGTTCAACTTTAGTAATGTCCTTCTTTTTGGTTTTGTACGTCATGTCTTGCCTTTTTTAAGGCATAGGCAAGCATGATCATGTTATGGGCAGGATTAAGCGATTCTGAATATCTAAGGGGCAAAAACAGGAGGAAGCTGAGTGAAATCAGTTGAAATACCTAAGCTCTTGAAAGTGATACGTGTACTAAAACTAACATTATAACATATGTGAGGCAGCGTGGTGGAATCAGGCTCTCGTCAAAATAATCAAAGTGAAGAAACTTGCATTTTTCTACAGATTTGTGAATTTTTATCAAATTTTTTTTTTTTGTGGCTCGACACCTTTCATGCCCATTAAAGAACTAATTTCTTTGTAGATTTTTCTGAAAAACATTGATTAAAGGCACAAAAAATTTAAATTTTCAGTTACCACGGGTTATTGAGATAAGGAAATAACTAATCTTTGACGGCCATTTTCTCACTAATTTTACATCTGAAAACAGTTGACCCCACCTCCTTCATTGGCACATACCTCAGCTTGTATGAAACATAAATGGATATTTTGTTTTCATTCAAATAAAGCCAAGTGAACAACCTTTAAGATGATACCAATAACTCTACATGCCCAAAAATTGACGAGAGCCTGATTCCACCACGCTGCCTCACATATGTCACTCAAGGGCATTTCATGAGATCAATACTATAGATTGATTGCTTCCATCTGGGTCAGAAACTATTTATTCTAATTTTCAAGATGAACAGTTTTGTTTTTACTATTGATTTATTAACACGAGCCACATTCATTATTAATCACTAGATCTCGCAGGTCGGACTGAACTTGCTTGCAGACTTTAGTTTGGTCTTGCCTGATCTAAATTATCGTCCCATTTGTTGACAAGGGTCTAACTGACTCACCTGCACAAACAGATGTTGTAAGCAGTCCCACTTTTCGATGTGATACAGTGAGCATTGACACCATCCAGTATGCTGTTTGCCATTTGTGATTATAGAGTTGGTATTTGTCTGTTACTTTTTTAGCCTTTTTCAGAGGAATTTATGCTATTCTGACTCTCTGATCATGTAGGCCTACTATGAATGTTATGCTTGGAGATCAAAGTTACTTCCTTGTTGCTTTCATCATAGTAATCACTCTTCTTTTCATTCATGTCCAGGTTTTTCAGTGAGTACAACATGGCAGCTATTTGACTGGACCAATGTGGCAATATTCTTTGGCATGGTGACATCTTCCTACGAAGGGATTGGAACGGTAAAATCTGATTAAGGTCTTGATTGAAAAAAGTTAATGAAATCATGTAATTCTGCTGAGACAGAGATTACCTGAGCATCTTTTCTGAACTGAGTCCATCAATGAGATAAAGAGTAGATAATGTATAATGTCATCGGCAAATAGGAAATGATTGAGCTGCTGTTGACCTCTGGCACGGAGATGGGGTTCTAGAACAGAGAATAATGGAGGCTTTCAAAACGTTTCAAAAACACGATAAAAAAGAAATTTTAAGTTTTGCATCTTTTTAAAATTGTAACTTTTATAGAAAGTTATGCTTTGGAAGGATTTTTTTTCTAAACTGTAACTTGTGTACAAACATACTTAAAAAAAAAAAATTCTAATTCGTTGATGAAGTGAATGGTAACTGTTACTTGTACCTGAAAGAAGGTCAATTTGTTGTTTTTAACCGTAACTTGTATGTAATGTGAAGTTTATTCATTTTATTTTTAGTTGTAACTTGAACTTGAAGCGAGTTTTTGTTTTGTATTTTCATTGTAATTTGTTCTTGAAGTGAGACATTGTTTTGAACGTTATCCTTAGATTGCATATGAAATGGGGTTTATTTGTTTTTCTTTCTACCTTCCCTCATATATTGCTGAGCTTATCATGGACTTCCTCAGGTTATCCCAATCGAGTCGAGCATGGAGGGCAACAGACACAACTTCTCTAACTTCTTGCATGGCTCAGTGTTCATTCTCACCTGCATCTTGTCTCTGTTTGGCATTGTGGGATACCTTCGCTACGGCACCGGCACCGAGCAGATGCTCAACCAGAACATGCCAAGTGGCACGCCTGTCAGCATTGCCATCAATGTGTGTCTGTGCGTGGGCGTCATCCTCACCTTTCCCCTGCAGATCTACCCAGTCATTGAACTCTCGGAGATCTTTCTGTTTGGAGACGGTATGTGGAGCAAATGCACACAGCGTTCACCGCTCTTGGTTGCTCTGTGCTTGTCCGTCATGCCAGACAACCTGGTTCAATTCCTGATTCACAGATGCATGATGCTTTTTTTTGGTATTTGGACATGGTTGGGGGAAGGGTGGTGCCCACAAGTCTGGTCTCATTAAAGGGGTAAAATGCTCTGCCATGATTGATGTGGTTGATATACTTGGCCAACATGAGAAAGTTTGGGGTTGAATCCAGATAGTATCCAAAGTGTTCTTATCCTTCCTGGGCTGTTTGTCATCTCCTCCTTATGTCCTGATTTGGTAACATCCTTTCAAATTACCTAAGTTGTGCATAGATGTGGGTAAAACTTCACAAGACAAATATTTTGGATTGCTAGTTTCTCCTCCTGCAGTCTTTTTAAAAATCTGTTTTGCTTTTGTTTTGTTTGTTTTTTGTTTTGATTCTCATGTGCTCTAGAAGACCCACAACTACATTAAGACAAGATTTTCTCCTTTGAATTAGGTTGTAAGATGGAACTATTTCCTTGAAGGCTGACTAGACCATAACACGTTTTTTGTTGTTGTTGTTATTAGCATTGAGTTTTAAACAAATGCTGATTTTGGGTTCAGAGCTTAATTGAATTTTGTTGAGTCTGATGACTGATTCATTTTAAATGTGTTTTTTTTTAATCGAGTACTTCAGAAATAAAACCAAATTGAGTAAATAGTGTGCCTGGCACTCAGGAAAAATGTAATTGTCATAGTGATAAAGTGCTTCAACTGATTTGTAAGAATAAAATAAATGCTTTTGATAAGTTTACTATGCTACTGCTTTTTTTTCCTGAAGGATTTGGAAAAAAAATCTTTCTTAGTGTTCTTCCCCTACCCTCTGTGGAATTGTATCAAGGGGGGGGGTGATTGCCATGAACAACTGATGTAGGAATTGGAGTTTAATGCTGAGATCTTGTTAAAGTGAGTTAACATTTGTTAGTCCATTTTGTTTTGAATTTTTTTCTCTTCCTCATCTAAAGGTCGTATATGTGGACCCAAGAAGAAGAGAAAAACTCACCATGTTGATGATGAGGACTCTGAAAGTGATGGGGATGTGGGTCCCTCAGAGGGGGGCAAAGGTCGGGACAAGGAGGCACTGCTGCCTAAGGAGAAAGTGAACATTCCAGCTCCGGTGGCTGCCACTGTCTCTGATGAGGTGAGATGGTTAGGAGGGTTCTATTTTTTTCTCTGTCTTTGTTCTTTGGAGAGGAGGTGGGAGGCTCTATTTAAGACCTGTTTCACTGTGTTTGCATTTGTGGCAGTGGCTATTTTAGGTAAGATTTTAGGAGACTGAAAGTTGTTTTATTTCTTGTAGTAATTGATTATTGTTTCCTTGTTTGTTTGATCAGGAGATATGTTTTGTGCTCCACCTTCCAGGACAGCCAATGAGGGTAGAGATGGAACAGATGATCAAAGCTATAAGAATAGCAGTAGCTGTATACTATATTGATAGTCATCTTGTAAGATCTTTTTGTTTTTTCGTTTTACTAGTGGTGTTATGTTAATGTACAGTACTTAACCTTATCCTGTGATAACCAGTGCGAGACTGAATCTTCCAGATTCTTAGCTCAGCAAGCAAAGAAGGGACATCATACAAAGTAACGAGTTCTCTCTCTGTGATGCAGGATACTCTATAGTTTTGTGTGTCACAGCTGGTATTTGACATTTCTTTTTTATAGAAAGAATTTGCATGTGCTTTCCTATTTTAAAAAATAAAGGCTTGTAGATTTTTATCTCAACATGCATTTGTGTAATTGTGTGGACGTCTGTGAGTGAATGTCCTTGGTTTTGAGTTGGAGTGAATGACTACAGAATTTTGTGATGTAAATGGCCTGAAGGTGTGTAGTTGTTTTTGTATTTGGTCTGGTTTCCGTGAAGATTGGAGAGAGACTTTTGTAGAGAATTCAGTTTCTTTTGTCATATGTGTCTGGATGCATTAATCCTTTGTTTTGTTGTTAATTCTGTGTCAGGATTCAGTAATCTTTTTTCTGCTTTTTAATCCTATTTTTGGAATCATGAATCATCTTTGTGCTTGTTGATTATGGGTCTGGACTGATTAATCTTGTGTCTCCTCATTTGTTCTGCTTCTGGATTCATTTATCTTCTGCTTGTCAATCTTGTTTCTAAATTCATTAATTCTATGTCTGCTTGGAACCACAGGCCTGAATTCATCAATCCTTTGTCTACATGTTTATATTCTTTTTTTGGGTTAATTAATTTTCTGTCTGCTTGTTCATCCTGTGTTTGGATGCATTAATCCTCTGTGACAGGCACTGTTGATCATAATATGTCTAGATTAAGTGATCCTACACATTTGCTTATCAACACAGTACAGTCCGTGCCGGCTTTAAGCACGCCGGCTTAAAGCACGTTTCGGACTCAAGCACGCTAAACGGCTCTTACCGAATTTTTGCTATATAAATTACACGCCTTTAAGCACAGTAACTTCGGCTTCAAGCACGCTTTGTTTACAAGACAGTCAATATTTTCATGATGACCCATCGAAGTTCGAACACAGTCTACACCGCAGCAGTGGAGTGTGTCAAGAGAAACACAAAGAACGCAAGTGATGGACACACACAATCACACGGGCGGAGAGGAAGGCAGATGCATACAGCCGCGCGCGCGGACATAGGATCTAGCCTAGGCCTAGGGCAAAGCTACACACGACCAAAAAAGTACAAAGAGAGTCGAGGAGACGAGAAAGGGAGGCTGGCTGCGATTTCACCTTTGACCCTCGCTATCCATTAATCCTGATTGTGTATCACGTGCGAGGTGGGATGAAGGCGGTGGTATGACAGTATGAGTGGCACAGCGGGCAGTGGTACGCACAGGCAGTGTGTAGGCCTAGTGTGCTGTATCGTGACTAGCCGTCTAAATTAAGTTTTCATTTCCCATTCGATCACAAAACAAAAACAAACAAGCGAACAAAAACTACCATGGCGGGTGTCTAAATAACAGTGCACACTTTTGCGGGACCGCTATAGGCCTACTTACAAACAAAGGGAAATAGCACGTGAAATTTTCTACAAGAAAATCTCTGGATTATGTCTACTTCGCACTCAAGCACGCTTCGGCTTTAAGCACGCTTAAGCTTTCTCCCGACGGCCGTGCTTAAAGCCGGCATGGACTGTACAGCATCTAGTTGTAGATTAATTGATCCTACCTTTTTGTCAAAACAATGTCTGTATTATTAAATCTTCTTTTGATTTTTAAATATCACATCTGCATTAATTAATCCTATATCCAATTAATTCTAAATGGATGGTTGTCAGGTGCTGTGGTGTGGCTAGCTCCGTCTTTCCTATCAAATATTTATCGTATTTATCTCTCCCCCTTTTTTTGTGTAAGTTACTCACTTGTAACACCTTTAGTCTTCGGCACTTATATGACCTAATTGTGTTGCAAGTGCCGTAAAAGTTGTAAAACTCTTAAGAACACATACATTTATAAAAAATTCTATATACCGTATATCTGGACTAATTATTCCTCTGTCTGCTTGTTATTCCTGTGTCTGTTGTGTTGAGCCTGTGTTTGGACCAATTAATCCAATGTATCCTGTTTCTGGACCAAAAAATTAAATGTCTGCTTGTCCATCCTGTGTCTGCATTCACTTTTCATATGTTTGCTTGCTTCTCTCCCTCAGGTTTCCACATGGAAAAGGAATCTCCTCCGTGTGTGCCTGGTGGTCCTTGCCGCTGGGCTTGCTGTAGTGATGAGAGACTTTTATGCGTACGTCGGCTCTTTTGTCGGTAAGTGCTCGTGTCACGCACTGTGTGTTCTCCAATGCTGTTAGTTTGTGGGAGATGTGTATGACATATAATGTATATGCTCCCAGTCTTGTCCTGAAGACAGAACTTGATTCAGATGATGTTTTACTGGACTCAAAATGTGTGAAGTCAATTATTTATTGGGCATGACATGTCTTACCTTTTAAGAATTCTTGGTTGTTACATTGAGATTGATTTAATCTGTGAAAATCATAGTTGGAAATACTCCACCTTAGTTAAGATTGAAACTGGCTGTGTGTTGGTCATATAATATGGGGGAGGGGGGGTATATACTTTTAGACCTCATCTTTTTAAGGGGAGTAGATATGGTATTGTATTGTGGTGAGATCTATTCTTAATATATGGAAAGTATTCACATGTAGAGAAAAAAGTGAGAAGCTTATAATATACAACAAGTCTATGTAGAATGTAAGTCATAAGAAGAGAAGATGAGGTTGAACATGAAAAGCTGTAGATCATTTGAATAGCTTGTTTTTGTATATTCAGTTTGAAGAGAAAGAGATGTTAAATGCTTGGAAGAAGTGATGAATATGTAAAAAAATAAGTGTATATCATTTCAGGGAGTGTAGAACATGAAACAATCTTATAAGATTTCAGAGAAGTATAGAACACATGAAAGAAGTGTAGTGGGCTTGAGAGAAATGTAGAACATATAAAAGTAGTTTCGTGTAGAAAGTTTGAGAGAAGTGCAGAACATGTAAAAGAAGTGTAAAATGCTGGAGAGAAGTGTAGAACATGTAAAAGAAGTGTAAAATGCTGGAGAGAAGTGCAGAACATGTAAAAGAAATGTAAAATGCTGGAGAGAAGTGCAGAACATGTAAAAGAAGTGTAAAATGCTGGAGAGAAGTGTAGAACATGTAAAAGAAGTGTGGAAGTTTGAGAGAAGTCGAGATTTCTGTTTACTATTTAGATGTATGGAACACTGTAACTCTATTTCCACTGTTTTATTTATTTGTTTGTTTGTCTCTGGTATCTGCCAGGTGCCTTGGGTAGCTCCCTGCTGGCGTACATACTGCCTTGTCTGTTTCACCTCAAGCTATGCTGGGCCCAGCTGCACCCGGGAGTCAAGATCAAGGACATCTTGATCGTCGTGTTTGGACTAGCTGCCAGTGTAGTCAGTTTGTACTCAACTATAAGGTCCATTGCAGACAGATCATGAACCTTTAGGGGGGTGGGGGGGGGGGGGGGGGGGGGGG